TGGTTTCATGAATGGGAGATGGTGTATGCTATGGTTTTGCATCCCTCCGGGAAGGAATAGCTGAATGTTGAAGCGGCAAGTTCATCAACTGTAGCTTCTATTCACAACATTTTATTCTTTTAATCTGAGTTTTATATCATTTTATGATTACTCCTTCTGTAACTGGTTGGTAAATTTGTATTGCAGAATGAGGATAGAACTCTTTGGAAATTGGGCACGTTGCCACCGGGACTGATAACCTTCTATAACCTAACCTATCCATTGGACCGAAGTTGGCATGTCTTGGGACTTGGTTATGACCCAGCTCTTAACCAAACTGAGATAGAGAATGCAGCTGTAGTTCACTACAATGGGAATTACAAGCCATGGTTGGATTTGGCTGTTGCCAAGTACAAGCCTTACTGGTCTAGATATGTACAGTATGATAACCCTTATCTTCAACAATGCAACATTGTTGAAGAATGATTTTTGTCCCCATTTTCTTTTTCTCATGTAATAGTTCTAAAGAAAGAAATTGACAGTGCCTTATAGCTCAGCAAAAATTTGTTTTTTTCCCAAAGAAACTTGTTCACATAGCTTTTCCTTATTTTCATGTTTTATTGAGTTATAGCCAGTCAATGCAAGCCTTGAGCAACTCATTATCAGACTCAAATCATCGTCCCTGACCATTTCCTTGGCTGCTTTCAGTCTTGGAAGTTATCATGGGTGTATTAAAAATGGCGTCAATAGCATCGCAATCGTATTGATGGTTCGGCCATAAATGGCTAGTTATATGTTCCTAAATGGGCTTTGTCCAGGATTTGCTTCCAAGCAATGCGTTTCTCAGCAATAGTCTCAGGTTCGAAACTCCCTAATTGGATTCTGAAAATCAAAGAATCATCGACGAATGGAAAATGGCATGAAGTCGTTTCCCACTACCATGAAATAAAAAAAGCAGGAGTTCAAACTGTAGATGTTTCAGTGTTTCCTCCCATTCTCAAAGCATGGTCATTCCTGTCTCACAGGCATGGAAAGTCCCTTCATGCTTGTTTGATCAAGCAAGGACTTGACTCGTTCACTTCCATTGGGAATTCCATCATGGGTTTTTACATTAGATGTGGGGACTTTGACATTGCTGTGGACGTTTTTAATTCCATGAGAAGAAGCAGAGATTCAGTTTCTTGGAATATTTTGATTCACGGGCACCTTGATAATGGTGCCTTGGTGGCAGGATTGTGGTGGTTTACTAATGCTAGGGTTGCTGGGTTTGAACCCAATATTTCCACGATGGTGCTTGTAATCCAGGCGTGTCGCATTCTTGGAACTAAGCATGATGGGCTAATACTACATGGTTATGTAATCAAAAGTGGCTTTTGGGCTATTTCTTCAGTTCAAAATTCTTTATTGAGCATGTACGTGGATGCTGACATGGAGTGTGCAAGCGAGCTGTTTGATGAAATGCATGAGAAAGATGTTATTTCTTGGAGTGTGATGATTGGTGGCTATTTGCAGTGGGGGGAACCTCAGGTTGGGTTGCAGATGTTTAGGAAGATGGTGATGGCACCTGGGATTGAACCAGATGGAGTGGTTATGGTCAGTGTTCTTAAAGCTTGTGCTAGTTCAAGAGACGTTTGTACTGGGAAATGGGTGCATGGGCTGGTGATTCATAGAGGTTTTGATTGTGATTTGTTTGTTGAGAACTCTCTGATTGATATGTATTCAAAATGTAAGGATGCTGGTTCTGCATTTAAGGTTTTCAATGAGATATCTCAAAGGAACAATGTCTCGTGGAATTCTATGCTATCCGGATTTGTCCTCAATGAAAACTATTCAGAAGCTCAGTCGTTGATTTCTTCAATGAGGAAGGAAAGAGTTGAGATAGATGAAGTAACTCTAGTGAATATTCTTCAAATCTGCAAGTATTTTGTGCACCCATTTCACTGCAAATCGATCCATTGCGTGATGATCCGTAGGGGCAGTGAAGCAAATGAATTGGTGCTCAGTGCACTGATTGATGCTTATGCGAAGTGCTATCTTATTGAAATAGCATGGGAAGTCTTTGCGAGGATGAGGAGAAGAGACGTTGTTTCATGGAGCACAATGATTTCTGGGTTTGCTCATTGCGGCAAGCCTGATGAAGCTATAGCTGTCTACCAAGAGATGGACAGAGACCTTGTAAAGCCTAATGTCATTACCATCATAAATCTTCTTGAGGCATGTTCTGTTACAGCTGAACTAAAGAGATCAAAGTGGGCACATGGAGTTGCAATTAGACAAGGCTTTGCATCAGAGGTGACAGTTGGAACCGCTGTTGTTGACATGTACTCAAAATGTGGAGAAATTTTGGCCTCAAGAAAGGCCTTCGATCAACTCCCTTTGAAAAATATAGTAACTTGGAGTGCCATGATTGCTGCATATGGTATGAATGGTCTTGCTCATGAAGCTTTGGCTTTGTTTGCTGAAATGAAAAGGCGTGGTTTAAAGCCAAACCCTGTGACCACTCTCTCGGTGCTGGCTGCATGTAGTCATGGTGGATTGGTAGAGGAAGGGCTCTCCCTTTTCAAATCAATGGTTCAAGAACTCGAGTTGGAGCCTGGGTTTGAACACTACTCATGCATGGTTGACATGCTAGGTCGAGCAGGAAAGCTTGACACTGCAATAGAAGTGATCAAGACGATGCCTGATAATCTAAAGAATGGTGCAAGCATTTGGGGATCACTTTTAAGTTCCTGTAGAAGCTACGGCCTGACCGAGCTCGGCAAAGAAGCCATCTCCCGTGTTCTTGAGTTGGAGCCTTTGAACTCAGCAGGCTATTTAGTAGCATCAAGCATGTATGCAGCTGATGGTCTGTGGGACGATGCAGCAAGGATAAGAGTACTAGCAAAGGAGAAGGGAGTGAAGGTTGTTGCTGGATACAGCTTAGTACACATTGATAACAAGGCATGTAGGTTCGTTGCTGGAGACGGGTCTCATCCACGATCAGATGAGATATTCTCCATGGCTCAACAGCTACATGATTGTATCAGGATTGATGAAAAAAAAGAAGGAAATACATGGCCGGCAGTCATTGAATGCTTAACCTAGTAGTATTAGTAGCACATGACTCCATTAGGAAGGGGTAGTTTGAATTAAGTGAATCGAGGATGTACTAAGTTGACAAGACAAAGATTAACAAGTTGGCTAAGTTTCGTGTAGATTACATATTGCAAATAATTAACTTCATATTTAAATGAGATTTGATCAGATTCTTTGCTTCAGTCACGGTGGAAGTCCTTTGCATACAAGTCTTCGTATGTTTTTAATGGCAGATTACTTGGTCATAGGTTGTGCATGATTGCTTGGAACATGAGAGCTTAAAAATATAAAAATTTTCTTGGAACATGATTGCTTGGCCATAGGTTGTGCATGATTGCTTGGAACTGTTTGAAAAATATTTATTTTTATATTTTCATCTGTTTCTCTGATCAACAAATTTCTATTCTTTTTTATATTTATTTTTTCTGTTATAGGGAAATTAATGAAAACACTAAGCTAAGCAAAGGAATGTTTGATCTTCTCATAATTAATTATTCAGAGCATAGTTTTAAACCCGACCAGGGGTCAGGCCTCGGTCACTCCCCCCCCCTTCTTGTGAATACTACCTACCATATCCCGTTGCTGGCCTTGACAGTGAGCTTCCAATTAAGCTTGTTGTAAGTGGTATTAGAGCCTCGGATCTTCGAACTTAAGGTATGGCACCTGATACAAGATCCTAAGATCTTAGAAGGTTGGAAGACTCCCTGGATGCTGTTAACAAGGAACAAACACAAAAATATGAGCAAGTAATGAAGCTACTGGAGGTACATGGATAAAAATTGGAAAATACGCAAGCTAGTCATGAAGGTAGAATTAGGGAAATGAAAGACCTCATCAATGGACTCTCATTTTAACAAGGCTTGATTCTGTGAAGGTCACAACTAGCTACTGATGAACACAGTGCAATGAAGACCTCTCATGGCTCTCATAATAGGGACTCTGCTTCAAGAACATGCTGGACTTGTGAAGAAGATCACCACTCCCATAAGGGAAGTGAGTGTGAGTATCGCCAAAAGTGAAGATGTTAGGGTTAATCCTAGGGAATATACTTGAAAGGTAACATGTGCTTTCTTATAGACCAAATCATACCAGTAGTAGAATTTCTCATAAAAAGGCACTCATGACTTCCCCCTAGTATTGTGGCCCAAGCCCTAAAAATGGCTTTTTGCGGCCTTCAAAAGTGTACTCAAGAGCGAAAGCTTCCGCAAGTGCCACCTAAAGGTTGTTGAAGCCCCCCTTGTAGCTAAACCTAGGTCAAAAGCTGATATTGCCCCAGCAAGAAATAGTGCTGGTGTTGTAAGGAATGTAGTGCCACCTAAAGGCACGAATGATGAAATTCCTAGACATAAAACAACAGAACTTCCTCCCTTGGTTAATGGAAATTCAAGTTGTTCAAATCATTTGCGTCTATCACGGTAGCAGATGATCATGTTAGCCAAAATAGGAAGGATGATAACGAGTATTTAAGGGGGTTCTCTCCTGTTTCTGATGTTCGTGTGGACGACGAGTTGAGAGACCCTGATTATTACCATGGTGAAGATGAATTTAAAAGAAACATTCCATAAGATGATCCCAGGAATCCGGCTGTCATTGCTAGTAATGTTGGCGATAATGTTGGAGATATTGCTGGTATGGGATCTCATATTCTTGGCTTCTATGCCGAATCATCATGCGATGCCTTCGTTGTTTTTTCATCTCTTCTTTTGGAATCCACCATGAATTTACTGCCATGTCCAATCAATGAAAATGCTGGAGGAATTGCCGAGATGGCTGGCATGAGTCGCCACATTCATGACAGAACGGATGCCCTGAATGTATCTGACAACACTGCTACTGCCGTTGGAAAGGGATTTGCTATTGGATCTGATGCCACTGATGATGTCTTTGGATATATATTTTCGATCATTTTTATTTTTATTTATTTTTACTAAAACCTCTATCTTTAAAATTTAGAAATTTATATTTTCTCAAATCCCAACTAAAATATATATTTTTTGGCTGGTCAATCCAGTCCCTTCTCAAATCCCAAACGATTCTCACTCCCGCCATTTTTTTCCTCTTGGAAACAAAATCAAGAGATGGTTAGAACAAAAGGAACCTAAAAAAACAACCTTGTAAAATGGACCTTAAAACAATCAAACTCACAAGAGTTCTCCTCAAAAACACCAACGATCCTAAGATTTCATGGTATCTTTTCAAGCGCATTCTCTCCTTACCAGTCACCCAACAATGTCCTCAATCCATTCCCATCATTACCCGCATCCTCATTCGCGCCAAAATGCTTAACGAACTCGATGATTTACCCCAACTTCTCATTGCCTCACAGCCTCAAGAAACCTTGCATACTTCTCTTGTATCATTCATAACAGTTTTAGCGAAATCGGGTCTTTTTGGTAAGGCCATTTCGCAATTTAAATCGTTGCGTTTTCGATTCCTTGACAACCCACCTTCTATCTATTTGTATAATGTTCTCCTTAGATCATGTACTAAAGAGGGTCGTGTAGATTGTGTTTCTTGGTTGTGTAAAGATATGGTGGCTTCTGGGGTGTCTCCAGAGACTTATACTTTCAATGTTTTGATTGGTTTGCTTTGTGATTCGGGTTGTTTGGATGATGCTCGAGAGTTGTTTGATAAAATGCCTGAGAAAGGTTGTGAACCGAATGAGTACAGTTTTGGAATTTTGGTTCGTGGGTATTGTAGAGCTGGATTTACTAGTAAAGGCTTGGAGCTTTTGGGTGAAATGAGGAGATTAGGGTTTCCCCCCAATAAGGTCGTTTATAATACCCTGATTTCGAGTTTTTGTAAGGAAGGTAAAACTGATGATGCTGAAAAATTGGTGGATGAGATGAGGAAGGATGGTTTGTCTCCAGATGTGGTGACTTTCAATGCTAGGATATCGGCTTTGTGTAGTTCTGGGAAGGTTCTTGAAGCATCAAGAATTTTTAGGGATATGCAAATTGATGAAGTGCTAGGGCTTCCTCAGCCTAATATTATTACGTATAATTTAATGCTTGGGGGGTTTTGCAAGGAAGGAATGTTAGAAGAAGCTAGGGCCCTGTTTGAGAAAATGAAAGCAAGTGAAAATTTAATGAATAGAGAGAGTTACAATATTTGGTTGCTGGGTTTGGTTAGAATTGGGAAGCTCTTGGAGGCTCAGTTAGTTCTTAAAGAAATGGTGGATATGGGCATGGAGCCTAATGTATACTCATATAATATTGTGATTGATGGGCTCTGCAAGCATGGGATGCTCTTTGATGCAAGAATGCTGATGCGTTTAATGACAAGCAGCGGTGTTTTGCCTGATACGGTAACATACACCACTTTACTTCATGGGTACTGCCATACAGGGAAGGTATCTGAAGCTAACAATGTTTTGCGTGAGATGATGAGGGATGGCTGCTCCCCGAATAATTATACTTGCAACATTTTGTTGTACAGTCTGTGGAAGGAGGGAAGAATATCAGAAGCAGAAGAGTTGCTGCAAAAGATGAATGAGAAAGGTTACACCATCGATACAGTGACATGCAATATTGTGATTGATGGTCTATGTAACAATGGGAAGTTAGACAAAGCAATTGAAATAGTAAATGGGATGTGGACTCATGGAAGGGCTGCTCTTGGTAACTTGGGGAACTCATATATCGGCCTTGTTGATGATAGTGATAGCAGGAAAAAATGCATGCCTGATCTAATCTCATATTCAACCATAATTAGTGGTTTATGCAAGGCTGGGAGGGTTGGTGAAGCTAAAAAGAAGTTCATTGAGATGATGGGGAAAAACCTGCAGCCTGATTCAACTATTTACGATGTGTTCATACATAGCTTCTGCAAAGAGGGTAAGATATCATCTGCATTTCGAGTACTCAAAGACATGGAGAAAAAAGGATGCAACAAGACCCTGCAAACTTATAATTCATTGATCACGGGCTTAGGGAGTAAAAACCAAATATTTGAAATTTATGGATTGATAGATGAGATGAGAGAAAGAGGGGTTTCTCCTGATGTCTCAATATACAATAATGTGCTTAGCTCTCTATGTGAAGGGGGAAGGGTTAAAGATGCCCCTTCTGTTTTGGATGAGATGCTGCAAAAGGGCATTTCTCCGAGTATTTCATCCTTCATTATACTAATTAAAGCTTTTTGCAAGGCTTGTGATTTTAGTGCAGTGGATGAGATATTCGAGATTGCTCTGAATGTTTGTGGCCACAAGGAGGCCCTTTACAGTTTAACATTCAATGAGTTACTTGTTGGAGGTGAAGTTGTCAAAGCTAAAGAGCTGTTTGAAACTGCCTTAGATAGATCTTTTGATGTGGGGAATTTTCTCTACAAGGATCTCATTGACCATCTCTGCAAAGATGAGAAGTTGGATGATGCTAGTGGCATTCTACACAAGTTGACAGATAAAGGATACTGGTTCGATCCTGCATCATTCATGCCTGTGATTGATGGTCTTGGTAAAAGAGGAAACAAGCATGAGGCTGATGAACTTGCAGAGAAAATGATGGAAATGGCTTCAGAAGGTAAGGTAAAAAATAAGGTCCATCGAAATGCAAGGAGTTCCATCCAAGGGAAGAAGAATAAGGATGGTGAAAGTGAATGGCAGACCATATTGCACAGGTAAGCTGATAAAGACTTATTTACTTTTCTTGTTTGACCTTATTTATTTATTTAACCAAAATTATTGGGTTGGTTTTATCAACCGTATTTACCATGATGGGAAAATCATTGAACTGCTTTTTGATGAAATGCCCTGTAAGTTTCTGATTGAGGAACTAAGATGTATTTAAAATCAAGAGTTACATGTATAAAAGTCAGATTCTGATCATATCATGTACACGTATTAGTTATTGACTAATACATCTGGATGACTGGATGAAATAGAAACTGATCTTGTCTCTTGAAGTCAAGTTCTGATTACCTGCAAGCATTTCCAATTTTTGGTTATCTGTTCATTACTTTTCTATTCTCACCATGATATATCATCTTACCGATTTGTCTCACAGAGATGATGGCAGTGGAATTGCACTGAAAGCTCTTAAGCGTGTACAGAGAGGCTTGGATCAGGGAAGCATATCAAGTTTGGAGCCCCAGAAAGATGACTTCCTTGATTACTGGGAAGGTAGTCGTTAAATGATTTGGATCATTGGGACTGAAGCTGAAGTTTCCTGGGCAAAAACTGAACATCTGATGTGTGGCTAGATGGTATGTTTGATGCCAAACCTGAGGCTGCAGAAATGATGCTGACCTGTTCATTAGTGCTTTTGCAGTGGACACAGTATTGTTTAACAAAAATTTATCTTTAATGCAAGAACCATTCAGCCTAATGATAAGTAAAGAGCCCGTACAAGAGTTCTGCAGAGGTCCACGCATCATCAGATTGGAATTGCAGAAACTACTTGGTAGACAGTGAGAGCCCGCTTTGGATTTCTTCATAGCCCTTTCCTTCATCAGTCTTAATGTTAGTTATACGCGTAGTTTTGGCTGCTTCTTGTTCTTCTCTTGTAGATGTTGGAGGTAACTGTTAATATGGTAGCAGTTTCACTTGCTAAGTTACTATGGGAATGAGGATGTCTCCTCCCTCATGCGGGCATACTGTAGGCACCAAAACAGCTATTATAGTTACTAGATAGAATATAAGATGGAGTGCTGAGCCTCCATGTGGAATCAGATGCATTTTTGTTACTTTCAGATGAATAAATGCTCTCTATTAAGGTCCTTTTTTGGCACAAAAAGGGCAAGTGAAATGTAATTGTACATTCAGTGTCTTGCAGTTCAATAAGAATATTGAAGGTAAGAGCAGGCTTAAAATTTGTTTATGCCAGGTCCAAAGAGCGGTGACTACCAGTGATTAATGGTGACCAAAAAGGCCCCACCAAAACCAACTCCATGCCCAAAGAGAAAGGAAGAAGAGAGAGACAGTACGCAGGAAATGTAATGCTTGCAAGGCCTCTTTCCTTGCTGGATCCACAAACTACGTTGGAAACATCTTTGCTAATTTGAGAATCGTCAAAACTTTCAAGCAATGAGTCTGCTCCCTGGAATAGATTTCAATTAGGAGACATGCATAGATCTCATGGCAAGCAAAGCCAAGCCAAGTACATAACCTTTTGACACAAAATATCCATTTCCATTGTAGAAATTCAATCCTACCGATGTTATTTACATGATGTATGGGCAGTCGAAAGGCTTACTTGAACCAATGATTTAAATATATCCTTATTTCCTCTACATAGCCATTGATCTGTAAAATAAGATTCAATGGTTGCCATGCTAAATGCAAACATGAAACTGGAAAGAATTGCTTACAGAATCCCAAGCCATTTCAAAAGCTACTAGATGCAGGCAAGCAAACCAAGAGTCACCACAGAAGAAAATTTACACTGTTAATCTTAAATGCCATGATCTATTAGAATTTAGAAACTTGCTGTGGCTTTAGAATGGCACTCCAGTTCCCAATGAACTTCCCAGATGTGGCCCTCTAGATTCCATTGAACTTCCCAGATGTGGTTGAGCAGGTTGATGAAGGGATATTTTGATTGTATGGATCTCAGACAATTTATAGACATCTCTACACTCCTCAAGGTCAGCATCACATGTCAAAAGAACCCACTCTTGATCGTCGTCCAAATACTTGAGATCAATTCCAGAAATATCGTCTAAATTGAAACGCCTTGCAGTCTCTTGTTGCAAGTCCCTGAAACCCCAGTTTGGTTGCAAGGTGAACCGGATTTTGTCTGCTCCAAAAGTGGCCTTCACTCTAAAGCCACCCCCATCACGTATAACGCGACTACTGCTTTTTGGGAGGGGCGGCAGTGTCTTTGGACTTGGAAGGTCACCAAATGTTTTGTGGCTTTGAGATCTTACGAGACACTTTGTTTCGTCACGACTCAAGGCATGCAATTCCGCATCACTGTGTGTTCTCTTAAGCACATCACCATGGTCCTCTATCATTAATGGATCCCCGCTAACTGAGCCATTATTGGTGGTTGTGTCCTGCTTTACCCCAATGGAACAGCAGATACTCGATCCAGAACTGTGACTCCATGATGAGGATCGGGATTTTAAAGCACTAGGTGCAGCACTAAATATGCCACTCTCAGGTTGAGGGTTTAACTGCTTGAAATTTTCATCCGTCTTGGTTGATGGAAGACCACCATTACCAGAAAGATTTGGAGAGGTCAATTCTGGGAAAGTTGCATAGAAGGAACCCATTTGAATGGCACCCTCAGCACCTTGTACTGAGTCAATCACGAGTTGAAGTTTCTTCAATGAATGGCCAACCTTCTTAATCTTTCGAGAGGGCCAACGGGTGATGCCATGTTGCCTGCATATTCTTTTCAGAGTGGTGGGGCACACTGCATTAGCAATAAACTAGATCAGCAACAGGCACCACTCTGGCTGTAGCCTATCCACTGGATAGATAGAAAGAATCAACATGGTATTTTTCTGAAATAAAAAAAAGTCAGATCGAGCAAATAAGGGCATAGCAGACTCATCCAATGAAAGACACGAGCTGCAAATATCAAGAAGCAAAAGATGGTATGCCTAGCTAGTAAATGTTCAACATTATGTAGAGAGAATATTAGAGAATCAAGTAGGTAAAGTAAAGTTTGGTGACAAATTCAAGAGACTAAAAGAATTGCACATTGTCAAGAAGGCTCATTCTGGGATTACTTTCTAGATGCAATTCATTTCTCCAAGTATCATTCTGGTCTGGCATGTGTGCATGAACTCATTTTAATCATCCTGTGGCCTCAAGTAACAACAGCATGAACATATGAGCACCAAACGCATAGACAAGAGGCTAAAGAAATTCTCTTAATGAGGCTGCTGCCTCTCTTAATAAGCAATAACCAATTCCAGAAAATAATGTCAAACTCTTAAAAATAGATGAGTACAGTAGGCTACTCATACTCAGAAAGTCTGAACGATTGAACTCTATGCAAACATTCTGTGTAGTCAAGCTTCCAGGTGGATATGCTAAGAAGGTCTCCATTAAATCTAAGACTGCATTGATGAAGAAAGGCTTTAAGTTCTTTATTAGATATTTTTTGCTTGCTCGGTGCGTAATATTTACTTGAATCAAACAGTGGAAGAAAAATATGGTATTTCCTATTGTAGTAAATATTCTCCTACCGCCTATACTCTTCGCAGCATCTTTAAGGCTTCCAGCAAAGTGCTGTCGAAGAACTTCCAAGCTGATTGTCTTCTCTGTCTTGGTCCGTCTCTTGTCACCAAATTTTATGCTGCCTAATGAGTGGCGCCCAGCAGAAGATGAATCTGTGCCAGCTTCGATACTGCTTTTGGGTCCAGAATTTTGCTGAAATTGCCCGAACGCTGGAAACGCCTGTTTGTGATACCTATCGTCCTGAGTCCTACCCCGTTGAGATTTTACCTTGAACTCTTCTCTAGGTTCCTCTTTTGTATGGTCCCACGAGACAGAGACACCTTTACCTTTCTGTTGAGCCTCCACCGTTCGGGCAATCCAGGATGACTCTGCTTTAGAGGAATCTTTGAACAATGAAGATGCAAATTTCTGAGATTCATCTTTATGAAATCTCTCATCTGAAGCAACTACCATTTTCTTGTTGACTGTTTCCTCAAGCTCCTTGTCCATGATAACATGCCAACTCTGACAGGCCTGTTGTACGGTGATAGGCAATATGTCCGACATTTGTTTTTGTTCTTCAGTGTTACGGCAATCCTTTGGCAAGAATAACTCCAAGACAAAATCAGCTGATCCAGCATAGGAGCTTTGTAGTGGAATGGCTATGGCAGCATGCAACCCAAACATTTTAGCATGGTGAGAGAGTGGATAATCTGTCTTGCTAAAGGCTGCTACGTCAGTTGAAAGACACTGTTTGTTTGTTGCGAATGCTCTTCCAACAATCCCCTGACCAAAGGAGAGGTATTGCTCGGAACAAGCCATATAGAATCCCCAGTCGTCTCTCTCAGCTACAAAGTAAGCAGAATTCACCAAAGAAATAAAATAAGAATAGCTCTCATCAAAATGCCGGCATCCACCTTTACCTTCCCGGAAACATGGGGCCCACGCTAAAGCTAAAGGTAATCTATGTGCCTTGCACACAGACTCCAAAATCTTTGATATCTCAGGAGCTGCCGCTTGGCAAACTTCTTTGCAAACCTGTGCAAAAAAAAAAAAAAAAAAAAAACATGCATGTGTTCTCAGTCATTAAACATAAATTTTAAACTTTCAAGTCTCTAGTGCTTGTAATACAACATCCACTCGCCTTCAGTCTTGGAGGGCAGAAATCTTGCGGACTCCTAAGATCAACAGCCTGCATGTCAATATGCTTATTAGACAGGAAAAGAGGCAGGATAAGTTGTGGTTCAAAGGTAGGATAAGTTATATTATGAATAAACCAATGGCTATTGGGGCTTTTGAAAGGTTTCTCAATATAAAAATATTTTATAACATAAAGTCAAAGAAAAAGTTTTTATATATATATATATATAATGAACAAAATGCTCATTACGCATGGTAGATAAGTGCATGTTCAAGCTTCAAACATTCCCAGTGGTGTTTCTAGATGAAGAAAGGTTCTCAGATGGGCACATTAATTGTTCAGATATAACAGATCATAACAAGTGTTCATATGCTAATCTCCATTGTTCTTTGAACAAAACCAACAATTGTAGATGTGATATATATAAGAACAAGAAGATGAAGAAGAAAAAGAAACATACCTCAAGAGCTTTGCAGACATTTTCTAGGTCTGGACGGTAACTGATGTCTCGAGTGGTCGTTACGACCTCAATAACCCCCAAACAAGTCCTGCTGCCCCGTTCAAAAACAGGAACCGCCAAGGATCCTCTAATATTGAGTTGCTTCGCATGGCTTTTACGTAGATACTCAACCCCTCTGAAGAAACGAACATCTGGAGTCCACTCAGGCAACTCCCTCAAGAAAACTCGGCCGGGCAAACCAACCAACTCTTTTGAGTCCTCGTCTGCTGGGAACTGAAAGTCTTTTGATACATTTCTGTAACTTGCAAGACTCTGGCATTTACGATCGAGCAAGTATGGCTGGCCAATAGTGGTAAGGACATTCTTGCCTTCTTTCTTCACCGGAACCCATATCTGAATAAGGACATCCCTATCCTTGGTGCATTCTTTCACCTGTCCTATGGCATGCATCAATCTGTCTCTTACCGGAGAAGATGGTCCTGTTGCAGTTGGTGCAATCCACAATCTTCTACCCAATTCATTGCTCTCATCTGGAAAACTTCCGGATTGGTCTAAAGAACGAATATTCTGGTTTTGGGATCCAATCCCACCAAGTTCATCCACACCTTGATAGTTCTCTTGATGAGAATTTACATTCGAATTACTGCTGTTGGGCTCAAAAAGAGGAAAATATTGCCGAGGGTCATTTAGATCACTAGAGGATATAGTACCAGCCTGCAAAAAGTTGAACTCATTGGCAGTCTCCAACCAACATCCTTCATACAGGAGCTCATCCATGAAATCCAAGTCCATGGAAGTGCCAGAGAAGTTCTCGAAAGCAGAGTCAGGAATAAAATTAGGACCATTTCCATCATCCATATCGAGAACTTGCCTTCAAGATTTGTATCCAACAAAGCCTAGTAAATCTGAATTTGCAAACTTTTATCACGATCCGAAACACATAAGAACAGTATAGATGAAAAACAAAAAGAGGAACTTCCAGGAAGGATTGCTATTGCTTGTATCCGTAAACCCAATATGCCCGTCTTGCAGAAACATTGCCAACAAAAATTTGATTTTGAGAAGTGCTGCAATCAGAAATGCATTTCAGAGGAAGAAATACCTTCCGCACTATCATTATACAAGTTAATTACACCATGAGCAAGTAAAAATACGACTGACCACCTCGATTGTAGTCTAAAAGAAAAACAACCTAACAAATTTATGACCAGCTACAATTTTAAGGAACAAGAAGAAAAAACCCCAGAAACACCAAAGCAACAAGTTAAGCCATGATGTCAGTTATCACATATTGATCCATGGAAAGCAACGAAAAGAGAAAAGAAAAAACTAACATGAAACACCAAAGAAAAAAGAAAGAAAGACAACCCATTTCTCTAGGCCAACACCGTGTTCAAAGCATAAAGTAGCAGAACATAAGAAAAAAACATGAAAGAAGCATTAGTGAATAAAAGTGAAAGAGAAAGGGAAGGGAGTACGATATGTAACTCACTTATATTATACACGTCTGGAAGTACTATAAGCAAATCTAAATCAGACAGAACAACAGGAAGGAGTTGTTGTAGTGAGAACATATGCAGCAACAAAGATTCTGTTCAGTTGGGTTGGGTTGGTATTTCTGTTACTCGACAAGAAGACATAAAAAAAAGGAAAGTAGTAAAGGGCATCTTGGCTGGGTAAGTAGTAGCACCACGAGTGGAAGAAAGAAAGAGGAAATTATCCTCTCAGCCGTGGCACTGGCAGCTCTTTAGTGAGTCTACAGAAGGAAGCTGATGTATGCCAGGTATTTGTCAATGCCAAAATATATATCCTCATTCTCAGGCAATTGCGCGTGAAGAATCTTCTACCTCCAACAATGACAAATCACGGCACAAACATGAAAGCATGGGACCCCACCAGAGTATCCTGTTTGTACACGCAGGACTTGCAAGGAAAAAAAAAGTTTATTTCTTAATTGGCTTGAAGTTTTAGTTTTCTTATAGTAAAGAAAAAAGAATGGGGGTGCATACTGAATCGACAATTAGGACAACTTCACATTAGTTCCGATGAACATCAAGCTAGACTTAACACATAAGAACTAAATAAATATTGGAATCATAACTGCTAAAAACTATACGGCATAGAACATATAACTAAACTCTTTAATTATATTCACGATTAAATTGGAGACAGTGCCATGTAGTTTTGGCCTATTGCAGTTCTACAACACAGTGGTAAAGAGAAGGGTTAGTCATGGCGAATTCTATTTTTTATTTAAGATCTCGAAGTTCGAAAATTAATAATGAAGTTATGTATGATGTTATGGAGGTGTTTAACCTTGTTTGTTCAGGTTCCTCTTCCCTTGCGTGACATTATTCTAACACAAAATTTAACATCCACTATTAAAGCAAAGTAGCAGTTCCTTTTTTTATTTTTTTTCTGCTTGTTCTGCAACACCAAGAACCAGCCTTTGAGAAGGATTCTTAATCTAACCTGTTTTATTATTTTAGTTTATTGACTGACTCCAAGATTCTTCACAGCCATTTTGAACTTAACCCTGATCTTGGCTAGGTTAATACCCCTTTATTATCTATATATGTGCATTCAAAGAAGGTGCTGTGAGAAAAGCTGGACCCTGCTGCGCATAATATTTCCATGTTCAAATTGAAGCTCGATCAGAATACCATACCACGTTAAAATGAGTGCTGGTTTTGTATATCGGATGCCCTAAACTGCCTCATGTTTTGAGACAGGTGATGCTAGCCTGAAAAAGGGTTGCGCCATTCTTTTGTGATCAGAATGGATTCCATTTTAGTGAGCCATCACTAAGCCGATACGTTAATTAAAATTTTCTTAGAGTTTAGAAGCATCCAAGCTTCTAACTCATTCAAAATTAGAAGGGAATGGAGGAAAACAATTCTTTTTATTCATCAAGTTTTGTTTACTTCTGTTTGATCTCATTATTCATATGTCTTTTATAGGGATAAAAGGTTATGGAGTATTACAAATTAATTCATGCATGGACTAATCAATAGAAAATTAAAGTTGATACAACGTAAGCACAACAAGGAGAGCAGCAATTATATAACGATATATAGAATTAGCTTAAATAACTTTAAATATTTTTATTTCTAAAATAATAATTTGGTAAGTAATTATGCCTCTATATGAGGTTTACAAGTGTTTTTAAATATCTAATTATTTCTCGAATAATAATTTGATAAGTTCTACCTATATATATGAGTTTACAAATCGTAATATAAGCTTGAATTTGCTATTAACAAGGGAGAAAAAATCAAAAGCCTAAGACAAAAAGTAAAGTTAGCTAGAAATTAAAAAATAACAGAAAATAAAAAAATCAATGAAAAATAATAAAATTGAATTAAACATCATCTTTAATAACTTATATAACTATAAGCCGATCAACTCATTTCATTTTTAGAATATTATTTGTTATGATTTAGTCTAATTTGATTTCTACACCTCATGATTATGTTCTTGAGAGTTCATATGCTCAAAACATGTATTACAAGGTTAGATATCAATTATTTTAAAATATTCTAATTCTGAACATTTTTCTTTCAATGTAGGATGTTACAATAACTAATCAGATAAAAAATTATGTTCAATAAAAATATCTTCAAAATATGTTTGTAGTATATCTCCATCTATTATGATAGATATCTTTCAATTTTTGATATGCTGATTACTAAAAAAAATCGATCTTTTAACTATTCATGAACTTATTCAAGAAACTCTTCGTCTTTCACTTCATCTTTCAAGACAAATTCATGCATCTTCCAAAAATGGGTTCAATGCTCAACCAAATTCGTTGATCCTCCAGAAAAAAATTCAATGTTCAACAAAATTTGAGAGTTACTTGTATACCAGAAACTTCACAGGTGCTAATGATTAACATCAAACAAGGATTTTCCACAAGAATCCATTAGAATCTTGAAGAAATCATATATATATATATATATATATATATATATTCGCCACATGGGGTCACGTTAATGTTAGCCACTGTAAATAAGTGCCCCTCAAGCTTCCAGGGGGCCATGACCTCTTTCCAGTCCTTCTGATCAGTTCGCCGCGTCTAGCGAAAGAAGCACAGTCCAGGATAATCAATCATGCTGATCTAATTGCTATTTTATGCATGATAATGGTCCAGAGGTGGAATCCTCAACAGCCATATCGTGATTCAGATAAATGGAAAACCTGAGGTGATTTCTTAAAAGGTGCCTCTTTAATCCCCATTGCTAAAGCATATATAACCAGCTGCAGGCCCTACTTCCATGTGTTGCTTTTGAGGAAACATTAACAAACAATTAATTGCACTGTCTATCAGAATTTTAGGCATAAAGTATTTGATTATAAGATGAGAATTATCAAAACAAGTTGTAAGCCCTAGCTAGTACCATACACTTTCAACAAATCAAATAATTAAAAGATGATCATGATGACATCTTCTATGTGATTATTAATTTGTTGCAGTCAGGCATAATTAATTGCCCACTTCATAGTTGAAGACTTAGAGTAACCTATCTTGGCCCCATTATTGAAAAAGGAAGATGAAGATCTAGTCCGAACCATCAGATTATTGACTTTGGTTAGCGTCTCGGTATAAAAATGATAAATACAAATAAAAAAATAAAAATAAAAATAGATACGTATTTAGTCGAAAAGATAAAAACAAAAGATAAATATGTTTTTAAAATAATCTTGAATTTTATTTATTTATTTTCAAAACAAGATATGTCACTGTGATTTTCATCCCTTCTCGTGTTTTGAGAAGGTAACCGATCGAACGCTAATAAGGTAGGGTAATGAGGTTTCCTATCAGCAATCCATGATTATGAACTCTAATCTCATCAATTATTGATCTTGAATAGAAAATAACAGGAGAGCAGAGTTATGGAATTAATTGCAACTTGTAATAATATTTTATTAACTTTGCTTCGTCATTGACAACAAAATATAATGTTATTCTATAGCCAACCTGTGTGATTAAATACTCATAACAATGCTGATTGTAGCTTACCAAGATTTTTTAATGTGTTTAACCTTTTTCAGAACTGATGTCAGTTGATGTGGTGTAAAGCACACAATGTGATTAAAAATACAGAAAGAAATTTTAAGAAAATGTGACTAGTGCTTACGTGCTTTCCACACAAAGCTCCTTTGTAAAGCCTGATTATTTATTATCAATGAATGATGTAATGGTGGATTCAAGGAAGCAGTATCCTCCATTTTTTCACCAGCCAATAGTTTCTCTTCTCTGACTACATCAGTATCATGTCTTGTGGAAGCTCTTGGTACTGAATAAGTATGGAAGTCTCATGCTGGTGAGATTTTTTTCCCCGTCCTGAAATCAGTTTTTCTGTACTTTTCATTCCCGTGAGTTGAGTTACTGACTCGTTTTTGCCTTTTTAATGGTGCCTCTCAGTGACTTGTTGAAAATTTCAGGCCTGAGTTTGATAAGTTTAATTACTTGTTAACTAGGAAATATTCAGAAAGTAATGTGTTTTTCAGGTGATGATAATCATTTCCACCTTCAAATGACCTCTTACAATTCCAGTTAAATTTACTCTTAATATATAGAAATTAATACCTCTTAGATTATCACAGCATTTCAATGTTGATACTTGAAAATGGAATCAATCTTCGTGCAAAAAATTAATTTTGATATAAACTGCCAAACTATATATGTAGTTCATCAGTAACAAATGCACCGTATCGGTAACGTTTTTCAATGGATAGGGTTTGGATTTGAATGCTAAGAAACAATGTGGATAGACCTGTCCTTGTAAATTGGTGTGCTATGAACTTGGCATAATAGGCAAGATTTGGATATATTTTCAGAGGCTTTTTGTATTGTTTTGGAATCTTGCAGTTTGTGTTCAGGTCTCTCATCTATTTCATTTGAAACAACAAGTTCAATGAAGATACTGATAAATATCTGGTCTTAGTATTGCTATATGAAACCAAGAAAACCAGTAATCATCGTCTCGTCGACAGATCAATCTTGTTCTTTTCACAAGTTTTCAAAGTCTAAAACAATATTAATGTTGAATGTGACGTTACCTGTGATCCCAGGAAACCCTTACAATTGTTGCCTTCAAGAAACTGTTTAGTTGATTCTTAAAAATATCAAGGACTTCTAGTTCAGCAGCAGCTGAGAAAGTCAGCTCTTTAATTTTTCTTTTAATCTTTGATTCAGATGATAATGATATGATCATAGAGTGATACACATACACATATTGTCAAAAATATTCAATTAGAAAAAAAGAGGCTGTGGATTGCAAGAGCCAATAAATTCAATGCCAGATACCAGTGGGATTCATTATGGATATCTGTCAACTCTATTTTTTTAATCATAATGCGGATTCTTTCATGTTTTTTAATGATAAATATAAGCAAAGGAGTGGAATGGTCAATGCTGCTTATTATATGTTAATCTTGTTGGGAAATGAATCGGTTAGCTACAAGAGAAGATATGTAACTAGGAGAATCTATCTAGCTTACCCCCATTAATGTTCTCAGAATCAACAGATAAGCTGAAATTGTGACAATTGTTTGATGCTGAGATTGAAGCAGCTGGAAAGGAATAGTTCCGAACCTTTATTCTGAAGATATATTTCATGAAAACAAGACTGGAGGAGATGAACCTTGCTATTCAATATTTTGTTCTGTTTCTGCTTTTAAATTTCTTGTAGAGAAGTTATTATATTCTTTCAGATATACATTTTTTTTGGATTAATGTGGGTGTTCGGGCCAGCTTACGCTCACCACGACTAATCCCACGGGTCCTGAAGTTAACGACCATGTAAGCCTCCAGTGGCCATCATATGAGTAACCAAAGGCTCGAACCTGAGACTACAGAGAAAGCAAACCCCTTGATCCCAAGTTTTTACCACTTGGCCACCACCTAGATGATTCTTTGAGATATACATTGAACATACCGTTCAATATTTCCACTTCATGTTTCTGATCACTAGGAAAATAGATAGTATGATGGCTATTAGAGCATCTCTACAAGATTCAAATTAATAATATTACTTTTGAACAGCGCAAGTGTAGTCTTTTT